AACATAAATTTACCTTTGACTTGTCATCATAATACATTTCTTTTTTCCCTTGTCAAACTCTTTCCCAACTCCTAATGATCTTTTCCTTTCTTTAGTGAAACAAAAATGTTCTAGTTCCTTGCTGTTAACAAAACTAGTTGTTAACCCATAGTTAAATTTTTTAGCAAAATAATTAGTTTGAAGCTCAATAAAATAGTTCGCCTGTCATAATAGGGTTATTTTCTTCTCCAACTGCTTGTTAAACAATTTAATTATGGGGAAATGTTCAAGACTTAATACAATTTGACATCCATAGCAGTTTGGCATCCATAAAGAAGAAGACAAAAATATTAAATCATTACAAAGGTTTTAATCTATGTCCACAAAATGGATGAGATGAAATCATACAATAGATGATCCCCCAAGAATTTAGTTAAAGAATAATATTGGTTAAAGGAAGCTTCCCTTCTTTTATAGGGTAATGGAAAAAAAGTTCTCAAAGATTGTGCTAAAAACAATAGGAATAAGCTATTTGTAGAGGACAATGGAATAGTTTAAGGTGGATAGTTAAAGTTCACATCTAAATTAAATTTGAAGCATTTAAAAGTTTATTTTACTTATTTTCTACAGCCAGTATAATGGTTGGTTATTTTAGGCATTTCCACAGTATCCAAAGATCTATTTAAATTATTTTTTGTTTCCTCTATATATTGAAAACACTAAAGTCAGAGCACAGTTTTTTAAAAATATGCAATTAATTATCACTACATAGTGTAACTGCACAATATTTTAACATATTATAATGAAATGAAAAATCTGGTTGAAATGTTTCTGAGCTGCAAAAAGTTAAAATGCATTAAATCTTTTTTCATTTTTCAACAGTAGCTCTAGTGGAGTTAATAGGAAAAACAAACAAACAAACAAATGCTATTGCAGCGTATCACTTCAAACTCCAAAGGACAAAAAGCTAAGGATGTAATAATGAGAAAGATTATTTATGGTTATACCAATTATTTATTTATTTCCATTTAATCTTGCTTTTTTTTTTTTAAAGAAAAGGTTGCCTTAAATTTGGAACTGCCATTTTCAGGGTGTCTATAACATTTCAAAATAAACATACATAGGGATTAGGCTGTATAGCCTATTAAAACCTGTTGCATCAGTTTTAAGCAAACATTCTTCAGACAAAATTGCCTGCCAACTTACTACTAATAATCTTATAAATATCATAGTTTGATATATATGTAAAAACAAATATATAGAACCACTTCATTTTCAATGATAAATACATGATAAATGTTGTGTTCCAACCTCATAGCTTTTATTGTTAAGCTATGCATTGTGGGTCTGTATACTGAAGGGCTCCATTTATTTCCATACTCCTGAAAAAGTTATAAATTAATCTGATATATTTTATCAGAAAATAATCCATAATCTCAATACCCCATGGAAGTACATCAACATGGCTTTACCATAAAACAAGCATACAAATTTAAGGACATAATCTCACATACACACAAGGAGAATGTAATCTATTGGAAGCCTTTCCTACACAACAACACTGAAGCTCCGAAGTAAGCTTCCTCTACATAACTTCCACACCATTTAGCAGAGCTTAAGAAAAAATAAATGTTGTTTGTAATATTTTGGAAAGTACCCTATACATGTTAAAATTGAGCTTGCATAATCCTGACGCTTAATCTGACTGTACCAAGATGAAAATATTTAATTTACAGCATGATCAGTTTTACTTTAAACCAAGAATGTTTTAATAGGAGAAGCATGTCACTTTTCTGTGTGTTTGTTTGTTAATGCCACACAGAATGACTTGGGTGTGTACATAAGAGGGTCTTGGTGAATTAATACTGGTTGTCCATTTCTCCAATGAAAGCAAAGTGAAGCATTACCTAAATGTAATAGCGAAGCTAATTTCACAATTACATATCTAAATAGTTTAAATAGCACTGAAGGCACACTTAAATTTTCCCATAAAAATGCATTAGGATAAATATGGCTTTCTGCTGTAAAACAAAAAAGCAAAGATCTTTGTTTTCACTCCCCTCTAGTTAATTCAGGTCTAGCTGCATTACTGCAAATATATTTCACAATAGCTTAAGGATACCCACCCCTTGCTGACAGCTTTTTAGTGTTGATAATTTTGGCAGCATATTCTTGTCCCGTAGTGATTTTCAGGCATCTTCTTACCACTGAGAAAGCTCCCCTGGAAGTCAATAAACAAGAGTAACATAAGTGCCAGTTTGGGGTATGCTATTTAACCATCTAATAATCTGAACAGCGTTAAGAAACAAGACAAGAAATAAATATTTTTTAAAGAAAAAATACTGCCTTAATTTGGGTTTGTTGCAGTGGATTTAAACTGTAAAGAAAAGATATCTTCTTCAAATATATTGAATGTATGCCCGAACTCTTGTAATTTTTTTTCACACCCATTCTGTGTTTTACTGCGCTTTGATTCAAAGGCGTGTGTGCATGTATCTTTTGCAGGGATCGTGTCGTTACATTTTATCCATTTTCCTCCTCTTCCGATATAACAGACACAACACCCCTTCTATTTATTTAAGCTCGAGGCTCCGCGGAGTGGGCCTGGATGCCGCCGATCTCACGACCTGCAGTTTTAAGCACGAGCGTCCCTGGGCGATTCCCTTGCCGAGCGAGCACGGAAATGAGGCTGCTCTCTCTGACAGGCGCCCGACGCGAATCCCCCGCCTGCCATTGGTCAAGCATTTGCAAGTCGTTTCTATAAGAGCCTTTAGATAGCCCCCACTTGAGAGATGTTTTGGTTTTGTAAGGAAATAGTCCTAACAAAAGAAGAAGCAGCAGCAGCAGCAAGAGGAGGAGCCCCGTGGTCGGTCTCCGAATTGCCCCCTTCCCCTGAAGCAAAGGCACCTTTCCTGGTCCTTAAACGCGGGGCCAGCCTCCCGCCGCCCACCTTGCTTTTCGACTGCCATCGTTCGAACGGACGTCCGAATGCAAGGCCACCCACGCTGCCCAAGGGCCGATTTCGTCATGGGCGGTTCTCCCAGGATCCTGGGTCCCCTTCCACTTTACGGAGAGGCGGGCAGGGTGGGAAAAACCCGCGTCAAAATTATTGCGACCGGCCGCCGGCAGAGCTTACAGCCCGTGGAAGAAAGGCAGCGGAGAGCGGGAAGGTCTGCCGGGAGCGGATCGCCCACGAGGCACACAGAGAAACACGCCCTGCCGCCCCGGGCTGAACTTTACGCGTCAATAAACGCGGCAGCAAAACGGGCGAAAGCAGGCGACCTTTCCCCGAGCATCTGCCTTCCCCTCCCTCCCTCCGCCCGGCCACCAGTTCGGCTCAGCCTCCCCGCAGCTCAGGCCGCCGGCCCCGAAGGCAGCGAGAGGCAGAGCTGCCGAACAGCGCGCCGTCCCCTTCGCGAGGGGCGACCTAGTGGCAGGGCTCGACCCAGCGCAGCTCCCCGCCGGCGCGCCATTCCTCTAACCCCCCCGCTGTCAGAGCCCTTTCTCCCCCCCCCCCCGCCCCCCCCGCCCCCCCCCGCCCCCCCCCCCGCCGGCTTTCGGCCACACTTACTTTCCAAGCTCCTCAAAGAGCTGATACTCGTCGGTAAACCTGGTGCAGGTTGCGGTGGACGCCATCCTCTCAGTGCGGCTCTTGCAGCCCCTGGGCGCTTCCGAGGAAGGAGAGAGGGCGGCGGAGGGAAGGTGGATTCAAGCAAAGGGGGAGGCGGTCAGGACGGAAGATGGGAGGGCAAAGGCGCTTCTTCCTCGCCTCCTCCGCCTCCTCTTTTCCTCCAGGCGAGTCTCTCAGTCACGCTCCTCCTTGGCAGCTTCTTGCGACTTTCCGCCTGGCTTGTTTGTGAGGTGAGCCGGAGGGGAGGCTGGGCGGGCTTCTCCGCGAACTTCCCTCTGTGCGTGTGTGTGTCTCTCTCTCTCTCTCTCGGAGCGCCCGCTTCGGGGGTCTCTGCGGGAAGAGCCCTGGCTATGGAAAAGCTGCTACACCATCCAAAATGGAAACCCGGAGCCGCCGAGAAAAGGCTTGCGCTCACGCGGGGGAAGCCGCAGCCCTCGGGCGGATTTAACGTCAGGGAACGGGACGAAGCAGAGGCGGGGGAGGATGACAGCCTCGTCCCTGGCTCGGGCAACCTCCGATGCCGCCCCTGTCAAGACCGTCTCTTTCTGCCGGGAGTCCCCCGAAGCGCCCCTTGCCCGAGGGCGGCCTCGCCAGCGGCGCCTCCGGGGACTCTCGCGCTGGAGGCGAGGCGAGGGAAGCCCGAGGGGCGACTTGTCCTTCCTCCCTTTCTCTCTCTCCCTCCAAACAACCCCGTCGCCTTGGCGGGTCTGGCGGCCGTTTGCTCTCCTTTCTCCCTATACCACACCTCCCTCTAGCGACGAGTGGACGAGCCCCGCTGCCGGGCTGGAGGAGAGCGGAGCAAAGCAGCCGCAGATCTTCCCGGCTTTCCCTTTAGGTCTCTATATAAATCGACTGCGGAATGTAGTGCTCTGTAGGTTTTTGTGGCGAGTTCCATGAACGCCCCTCCCTCCCTCCCCGATTCTTTGTTCCAAGGCGTGTGAACGAGCGAACGCGTGAAAGCTTTTTCCAAGGAGATCGCCCGAAAGGAAAGATTTGTTGGCCACACGGGCCCGCTAAGGAAGAACGGCGGGCCACGGATCCTTTTGCATTGGCTGCCTTTACAGGGCTTCGGCTTTAGCCACGACTTTCAGCCCAAATCGGCCGGCTTTAGAAACAAACCGATCCCGAGCGGGTTCCACTCCCGGGCGGTCGGAGGGGAAGCGTCCCCGCCCCGCCGCTCTTCTCCGCGTTCCATTCCTCGGCGTCACAATCGACGCGAGGCGGCTCCGATTCTCGCGAGACAGCCCAGCCTGCCTTGATGGAGGGGGGGCCGTCGGGTTCTCTTCAGTTGGGAACGAGGAGGGGGGAAGAGGAGGCGCGGCGGGCGGCGATCTTGGTTACCTGGGGGCGCTGCATTTTTTTTTCTTTTTTTAAATTGGAAGTCTGATTTTTTTTTAAAAAAAAATAATAAGTTCTGCATTATACTTTTATAAGCACAAAAGCGTGTCGGGATAAGCACAAAGTCGGCATGCTACATTTTTACACGCGGGGAAACCTCCCACTCGAAAGGATTCCTAGTCACGTCCTTAAACTTAGATTAGAAGGCTGTGATCCCGGCTCTGTAATGCTTTCAGACGCGACGCGGTAAAAGCCTTCCGCATAATCCGTGCAAACGAGGGTGCAGGTAAATTGGGGGGAGGGGGGGTTGTCCCTGAAAGCAAGGGACAAAGCGGGATTGGAACAAAGCTGGGGGGCTCCATCCAGCGCCCTTCCGTTTACATGTAGATGTGGTTTGGGTTTACACCATCATGTATTGATCAGCCCGATTTAAGATACTGTAATGCTTTTCAAAGTTGCAATGTCTGCTCTTCGTTGAGGAAGTCGAAGGTATTCCACATTTCAGAAATTCCTCAGCCTCGCCCATTCATTCATCCTCTTTCCAACTGAGCTAGTATTTTTGAATACGGAATATGCTACTGGATTTACTTAATTTGTGGGAATTGCCTTTGAATGATTATGACTGACTGTAGAGCTAATTATGATTTTTTTAAAAATCTATACTAGAAACCTGATTCCTCCTGTTTGCATCTCAGTGCAGCTTGCTGGTTTCATTCCTGTTGGGGGTGTGCATATTTTCATGAATGATGGCCACTCTTCCTTCTGGCACTGAAGTCATGTTTCCTGGAGCCTTTCATTGATACAAAACAAGCTCTTAAAATTAATATATATATTCTTTAGATTCTACACATAGGTTCAAATACAGCCAATGAAGTCAAGCTTATAGATATCAAGGGAAGGAACATTTTCCAGAAGCAGACAAAAATAACGCCAATAAATATGAGATTATAAGAAAACTTCCATTTCAGTGCAATATACTGTAATTTTATTGTACATTTTATACAGAACATATTAGAATGTCTATAACGATGACAGAATGAATGCATTTATTGAATTATGAGTAATCAACCTAAGGATAATTTTTAGGGCTCGTATGAGACAGTGTTTAATATTGTGGTAAATTCTATGTGTGCTTATAATTAAAATATAGGAAAATAAAATATTGCAAACCATTAAGCCACTGCCTTATTTGTACAGCCTGAAATGGCCATGACTTTTGAATAATTTGTGTTAATTGACAAAGGACATTCAGATTTATTATAATTTTATTTTGTAAATGTTCTGTCTCCTCTTAGTCATTAGTGTAAATGGTTATCAAAGGGAAGACACAATCTATAAATGTTCAGAAAGGAAAGCTTTGCCAGGAATGTTTTTAGCAACATCTACCAGATTCGAATGGATAAACACATTTGCTAGATCTTGTTTTTATTGTCGAATGGATCCAGCTAACTCCAGAGAGTTAAGATAATTTCAATCAAGTGATCATTAGGTATGTGCAGTGTAAACAGAAACAATTTTAAAACTGTAAAAATATAAATGGGAAATACTGTTACAAAAAATAAGCATACACAAAATGTTTAAAAACTATAAACCCCCCCCCCCCAAAAAAAAAAAAAAATCCTGAGAACTAAGGTGCTTACAGTAGTCTTGGAATGAAATACCTTCTGCTAAAAGATTTATTCTCTTATTTGAGGATGGTGGTAGAATGTAATGTGAATGAGATGAGATGTTTTGAAATATCTCAGAGAAACTTTGGCACAGTAAGTGAGAAGCATTTTAAATGCCTCCTCAGTGGCACATCTTTACTTCTCACTATAGTCTAAAAAGAAACAATATAATTGTAATCATAATTCAGTGTTATTGTGAAATGCAATGCTACAAATAGCCCCAGAATACTGTAATTAAAACATCCAGATTTTAAAGTATGTATCCAGAATGAATCCCTCCAAAGTAAAGATTTGTGTATTTTATGTGTTTTATAACTAAACACCAAAATTTCATCTCTGGGCTTTATTTTTATAAAGTTCGACTAAAGAGGCTTATGTCTGCAAATATAGCTGCAATCCAAGTTTGTATGACTTTAAAGGTCATGTCAACATATAATAGATTTCAAGGGCACTAAATTACAGAGATTACCAGTTTGGTGGCATAGGTTAAAAAAGTCCTTTAACTTTTATTTTTGGTTATCTCTGGGATTAACAATAATTGTTAATATATTGCTTATTATCTCTGGGAATAACAACTTTGATATTTATGGCAATATTTACAAATGATTTATGAATTATCCTATAATAGGTTTATGACTTTTAGGAAATTTCTTGTCATTTATGTAACATAAATTCTGGCATTGATCAACTTGTCATCATCACTTTCAAGGGTAAATTTGTACAATTGGGAATGTCAAATAGCATATCAACACAAGTGATGTTGAGCTGGCCATGGCCACCCTGGCCACAGGCCCCCTGCCCCCCCGAGGTCAAATACAACCCTGATGTGGCCCTCAATGAAATAAAGTTTGACACCCCTGGTCTAGATTTTCTGGATAGCATTCCTCCTAGAGACTGATTCTCCAGAAAGATGTGCAGGGCATTCTGAGCTATCACCTCTTGAACAGTGAGCTATTGGACATACAGTACTGGACATAATCCAAGCCTCAAGATGCCCATCTACATCTAATTGCTGCGGGTAGTTGCAAGCTGTCTATCCAAATGGTCAAGATTACAATGCAGCCCTTATAGCCTGTTCATTAAAATCCCTTGGCAGTGGTCAAGCTACAATAAAGCTGAAGGGAGTTTATGAATATTAAATCAGTATGACTCCTGATGTTTACAAATAATCCCAACAGCACTTTTTATAGCAAAAGTACCACGTCATCTATATGTACTTGCTTGCTTTTTTTGTTTAAACATCACACACAGTTGTGCTCGAGTTTTTTTTCCCCTCGTCCTTTTTTTCCCCTTCTAATTTCCAAAATGAAAAATGCCTATTGCAAAGAAAGAAGCAAAATGCTTGTGATTTAATGCTTTAGGAAGGAAGGCTAGATTTCTGTAGTATTTCATTCTACAGTATAGCTGTGATATATTCTAGGCATAATTAGATTGTTGACACAAGGATTTAAAAAAAAAATCTCTATTTTTCTATATAGTTGGCAGATGAGTTTAGGACTTCAATTTTAATTTTCTGTTTCATAGCAGTATATATTAGAATTTTATTTGTAAATGTTCAACTAGTGTGGACACATAAGATGCCAATTTAAATACATTAATAAAATAGCACTTGATAGGTATAGGATCACCAAAATAATGAAGTGAAATCAAGAAACAAGAACATACATTCCATTTCAATTGTTAAATCCTATATTCATTTGACTGATTTCTGGATTCATTTTTCTTCTGCATATATAATACTTCTTGCTTGATATTAGAGTCACTTCTAAAAATATTTTAAGATACGTTTCCATGTACTCAACCCTGCATTTCTCAAGTTCTTAGGACATGCATCAAGTGCTTAGCATGACAGAAACTTCTGCTATCATGTACTTATTGTCATGGGAAGATGTCATGAGAAGGGCAGATTAAGGGAAAGTACAGAGCTAAATTCTACCATTAATTTGAGAGGTGCTATTATGGACTTAAGAGACCCAATCTCATCTGAATTGGTAAAGCATAAAACATCGTGATTCCTTACTTTGACAGGGCAGATCTCTTTTGTTTTTATCTATGTATTAGATAATACATAATTAATCTATGCAATTAAGGTATCATGACACCAGAGGATGCAATGAACTAGTATGGCTATCTTTCCAAAAATGACAGAGATTTATTATCAAAAGAGGTAGTTTATTGCTTACTTTGTCACGGGAAGCAAATTTACTTCTTTTGTTCAATTGAGCAAAAGATTCTTCACAAAAGAGCTAGAATATTTTTTTTTAAAGGCTCCACAATTTCTTTATGGATTTTCTGTGCTTGCTGATGCTGGAAATAAGGAGTTCTTCATAAAGGGCTCAATGAAATGTGAGTATGTTTGCAGCTTCAGTAATTCTCTCAACGCTGTCCAACTATTTACATTACTATCACTATTAATCTCATTACTCCTATCACCCATCCACTCCCACTTGTGATTGTATGACTGTAACTTTGTTGCTTGTATTCTTACGATTTATATTGATTGTTTCCTAGTATGATTTGATTGCCTGTTTGTATTCTATGACTATATTAAGTGTTGTACTTTATAATTCTTGATGAATGTATCTTTTCTTTT